TAATGTTAAAATGAGTAAATGTTTGATCCAAAGTTGAAACATTAAAAAAAAACTAAAAACAGTATAAATTATAATTACATTTAATTATGTAGTTCAATTCTACATAACATGAAAGAGAGAATTTACAAGAAAGTGGTGATTGTCCATATAAGTTCAAAAACCTTCATTGCATTTTTTGTTTCAAAAGTCAGAATCACTAGTGTGAATTTGGCCATGCTTGTGGACATTTTAGACCCTAGATATTGCAAGGAGTTCAGAAAAACAGATTATTGGAAAGCTTTGTTTGGAAATCAAATGACTAAACATATCTCTCTGACTCATAGACTGGGTGTTAAATAAACAATATATACTTTTTAGATATATTCACTTGAGGAGGACATCTACCAATATTATCATTACGTAGAAGTAACCTTGGCAAGATATTAGTAATTTGTAGTTTATTGTCATATTTTTCTCTTACTGAATTATATGGTGAATTCTTCAAAGGAACTCAGCCCAAAACTCCATAAAGCATAATCCATCCAAGCCAGAAGAATAGTCATAAAGTGCTGAATAACAGTCTAAATCCAATTTCAGATATAGTCCTATATCAGTATTATTTTATTTTATAAAAAGCCACATTCATCATACACCATTTTTATAATGTAATTTTTTCTTTTGCTCTATTGCCAGTTATTTTCAAGGTATCACATATTTATTTGACTAAAAAGTCATGTTTTTAATACAAATAGTCCCCTGGTGGGACAGCAGTAAGTCTTTGGATTTACAACGCTAGAATCAGGGGTTCGATTCCCCTCGGGGGACACAGCAGATAACCTGATGTGGCTTTGCTATAAATAAACGATCATTTAATACAAATAATATTTGTCAGAAGAACATTTTATCAACTAAACACAATTTGAGGCTTTCTAAAATTTTTAGCATAAATAGGCATGCTCCATCTAAAAATTATGCGTGAACACCCAAGACTCTATGTCGATTATCATAAATTCTACAAACACTTATCTACATAAGCAGTACGCCTTTTATAAAGTAATGACAATTATGCTGAAATATATTTTGCTGATGGAAAATATTTTACATAACTTCATTAACTCTTTCAGCACGGGCTCGGACTAAGAGACCGGCCTCATAACCATTTTGTCCTTTTTATAGTTTTCATGCTATAACTTTTAAATTAGTAAGCGTATGTTAATGAAATTTGGCAGATTATTAGTAAACATTACAATGCTTTCATATGCAAAATATCAAATTTTTTTATTAAGTCTTAAGGTTTGTAAAGCAATGTTTTTCTCGTGCCTTTTTTTTTTTTCTTTTTGCATGTTGCCTATCCAACATGCAAAGTAATTTTCATTTTAAGGTTAAAAATACTTTTATGCATCAGAAAATTTTAAAATTTCACATGCAAAATCTTTATAATATTCAGATA